GCCTCTCATTGCATTAACTTGATGTTTGGTTACATATTCAAGGTTAAGTCATATGCTTACGGTAATATCACTCTCCTATCCATTAACTTTCTTTATAGTCAATATTTAATACTCATTAGCTACTAAGTAATATAATATAATCTTTCTGTAACAGCTTTTTAGAAGTCCATCAAATCCATTCTTACATTAGTCAAAGACCATTGTTGTTAAAGTTTATGAGAAAGTCCACCAAAGAAAGAAATTTGGTGAAACCGGTCAAGCGACATTTGTAACGGTCTTCTTATCTTTGAGAGATATGTGAATACAAAGAAAAAACTTGAGAACTTTAGTCCTCTCAACTGAATGGACTTCAAGTAAATTTGCAAAGGAAACTTGGAGGAAAAAAGTTGTCAATCTTATTATTTCTGTGTACTTTTGGAATGACATTGTTCGAGCACTTACAGTTTGTGGTCATTTGACAAAAGTTCTTCGTTTGGTGGATGGGGAGAAAAAACCATCAATGTGTTATATTCATGAAACAATAGATAGAGCCAATGAAACTATTGCACGAGATTTCGTGGAGTTAAGAAGCAATATGAGAAAGTGTTTGAAATTATTGATGCAAGGTGGTCTTACCAACTCCATCGGCCTTTGCATGTTGCAGGCCTTGTTTTGAACCCATGATTATATTATAAAGCTCAATAAGATGGAACTATATTACAGTCTTTGTGGACTAAGTATTATGAATCTGTTGAGAAGATGATCTGTGATACAACAATACAAAATTTACTAGTCGCTAAGCTTTTTAGGTACAAAATGACGGAAGGACTATTTGGTTGTGCTCCGGCCAAAAGAGATAGAGACACAAGATCACTGGTTAAGTGAGTTGATTTAGATCTTACTTAAATTATTTGACTTATTTATACTCTTTAACCTTTAAATTAATTTTATTATAGTTAAATGGTGGTCACTATTTGGTAGTGAAACCAAACTTGCAAAAGTTTGCTAAGAAAGTATTAAACTTAGCTTGTAGTTCATCCGGATGTGCGCGAAATTGGAGTGTGTTTGAACAAGTAAGTGGAGCGGATTCATTCCAAAAAGAGGAATAGGCTTTCACTATCGCGTCTCGATGATCTAGTGTACATTAAGTATAACAGAACAGTGAAACGCCGTTCTGATGATCGTGATCTCATTGATCCCATTCGCTTGGATAACATTAATAATTCAAATGAATGGTTAGTTAAATGCCCCAAAGATCAAGATAATGAACTAGCATATGAGGATGATGATCTTACTTAGGATAGTGTTGCTACGACAATGGAGCGGATGCGAGTATCTATCATCTTAGGGGACTTTCTTCAAGATCAAGAGCACTTGACAAGGGACAAGGAGTAGAAACTACTTCTACAAGTTCAACTTCAAGTAGGACTGGACACGAGTTGATGAAGAATACGAGGAGGAAGAAGATGATAAGCAATATAATGATGTAGAGGATGTTGATCTTCAAGAGTTGGATAGTTTTGAAGAAGAATAAACTTTTAAAGTTTAAGTATTGTATTTTGAGTTATTTGGTCTTTAAAGTTTTAGACTTTTTAATGTCTACTATTAGTTTTTGAATTTAATATGCTAATTTATGTTATTGCTATTGAGATTCTAAATTTCTATATATGCAATTAAATATTTTTAATTTTTTATATTAATTGGCGCCTTTATTCAAAAAGGAAAGTGCCTCGCCGCATGGCAATGTAGAGCCTTATCACCTTTTGTCGCCTCTCGTCGTCCAAAAGATTGGTATTATCAATATAGTTAGCCAACAAAATGAATGAAGAAATATGTGTGAATGTTCTCATAGACATTTTTTCCCACAATAATTTTTTTTTAAAATTGTGTCTATCTATGCATGATAAAAAAAATATAAAAATTATCACATATCAATATCATAAAAAATTATTTATCATTAAATTCAAAAATTAAAAGGAGAGGAAAATACCCTTCTTAAAGCCAAATAGAAATAACCACAAATAATCAACTAAAATTTTATAAAACAAATTACATTTTAAAATAATAAAAATTATTAATTTTTAAATAGAAAACTTTTGAATTTTAATTAAAATATAAAATGTATAGAACAGTGTAATACTGGTGGAAGTCTTTGCAAAATTCAAACTTTATTTAAGTAAAAGTTATACATATTTCGATAAAAATGACAAGATCCTATTATATGACTCTAATAACATTTATGTCAAACTTTTCATGTTCATTTTTTTACTTAATTCTGAACTAATTATTACTCACTCCAGTTTAATTTAGGAAAAATTGTACGTAATAGCAAATTAATAACCTAAAATAAATGGAGTAGCTATGGTTTGATTTAATTGTGCTCCATAGCAAACGTTTGCAAAAAATTGTTAGGTGCCTCTTTCTCTCTAATATCTCGCTCGTCACTCTCCATTATTCTCTCGCTCACTTCCTCACTTTTATACAAACGCAGGTGTATAAAAATTATTTCTAATTGTATAAAACAAAGAAAATTATATAAATACATATATTTTTGTTCTCTTATCTCCCCTCTTCCAGATCTTGCTCGTCACTCTCGTCTTTCTCACTTATACAAACAGAAGCGAAATGTATAAATTGTGTTTCTGTTTGTATAAAGCGTGAGAAAATTGTATATACAGATGCAAGTATATATATTTTCGTCCTATGCACTTATAATTATCCAATAAAAATACTCTCCTGCCCAGTTTCTTTTGTCTTTCTCGTTTTATACAATTTTCAAATTGTATCTAATTTATCTCTTCCTCGTTCTATACAATTCGATTCAATTGTATATTCCTTGTCAAGTCTCTTTTATCTCTCTCTTTCTTATTTTATACAAATTCAAATTGTATATAATCGTTATACACACTTATAATAATACAATTCATTTTATACACTTTATTTTTGTACAGTTCTCTGCCTAAGTGTCTTTCTCTTTATTGTTTTATACACTTCGTTTTATACAATTTGCTTCAACTGTATATGTATAGCGAATTATACAGTTTATATGTTTGCTATGGAGCGCAATTATACAAACTTTGCTATAGCATACAAATATGAATTTTTTAATTGTTATATGTGAAAGTTGCCCTTTAATTTATCTATTATAATTTTAGCTGGATTTAAAACATCAAATATTTTTTTTACTTTTTTCGATGTTAAATAGAATATATGTAAAGTGTATCAAAATATCTTTTAATACACATTTCACGTGAAAATTTAGAATTAAAAACTTGCCAACATATGATATGTTTTATTAATCAATGTAAAATAATAAACATATTAATATTATTTTTATGTAAATTTCTACACAATATATTATAAAACTAAAAGCTTAATATACTTGATCAAGTTATAGAGATAATATTGTGTATTGCTAATACTTTAATATTCCCTAATAAATAAGTTAATAATTTGTATGATTATTTTTAAATATGCATTACAAAATTCATATTAAATCTAATTAGTTAATTTTAATTAGAAAATATTATAACATTTTTTAATATCAATGCAATACACGGAGATATATACTAGTTAGTACATAAATATGCTCTTTAACTTGGTCTCATTTTACATTTATACCCTCCAAATTTGAGTGTGCACAAGTAGACGTACACTTAAACTTGTATAAAGTTGAACTATAGACACATGAGTCCTATGTGGCCTAATACACACGACACTATGTAGGACGCAAATTGCCATGTAGGATGCCACGTAGGACGCGTGTGTCTATTTATTTAATTTTATACAAGTTTTAGTGACTACTTGTACATTTTCAAAGTTGGAGGGCATAATAAAAAAGAGGTAAAGTTAAAGAACATTTGTGTAATATGCCTAATTAGTACACTGAAATCTCTATAAATGAATATAGGTGAGACCATGGAATTTTATTATTTTATAGAGATATTATTTAATTGATAAATTGATATTTATTTATTTAAAGAACAATTTGAGACTTGATAAAGATTAATTTTGATTATATTAAAATGCTTTGTATCTTACTAATTTATATATCATATTTATTGATTTTAAATTAAAAAATATCAGACATACAATACAACGAATACATAAAAATCATTGTATCGCACTAATTTCAACCTTGTAATGTTATGATACTAAGAGCTTTCAAGATGTATTATCAAATAAATTTTATTCTAGGTTATTAGAAGGTTATGTAGTGGGACAAACTTATCCAATAAAGATCGATGTTTTGGATGCTATCAATTTGCAATCTCTGTTAGGACAACTAATGTTCTGCAAGAGACAATATCAAATTATTTTCACCATTGTAAAATTCGTTATGGGGATGCAATCTCAGAGAATTTGAATGAACATACATGTGAAAACGTCATTCATGAACTTGATGTCATGATTAATGATCTCGACTATCAAAAATGAATATCAATATCCTGTTGGATTATCCTGGTGAAAGTGATACATGTTAAAAAGTCCGGAACTTAGAAGAAATTATAGATACCATTGGAAAAAGTAATGTTGATTATGAAGTTGAAGATGTAACTATACGTTTGGAATCAGTTACGCGAAACGAAACACTTATCACATCTAGAACTTTTCAGAATTTTATTGTACATTTCGAAAAGACAACATTGATGTTGTTGAATCAATAAGAAAAGTTAGCGATGAACTTCAACTAGATTTAAATTTTAAGAAAAATAAAATATAATAGAATCATATTTCACTAAATTATTTTTGATATATGATATTAATGGAACAATATAATTGTATAGGGGTCATCCGAATATATATTATTTTATTATGTTATTAAAATTTATAATTCTTTTCATTGATTCAAATTGAGAGGGAAGGAAAATATTATTTTAGAGAAATTTTTTAATTTATCGACTATTAATTTACAGAAAAGTTTTTATGAGTTGGTTGGTCGACATGGATGGGTAGGTAATTTTCTCGCTCGTGGTTCATATTTGCGCTGTCCATCGCAGACAATTACTTCCCGCTAATGTACTCTATGATTCTAGTTTTTGTATGTGACTATATACTATACTATATTTTTTAATTAGCCCATTTTTTTATAATGTAATGTAAAGCAGCCATCTCTGAAAATATCATCAATATCACAACTATAAATATAGTGAGTTGAATCCCAATATTCTTACAAGTTCCATACAAATTCAGCTTTTTAACGGTAAAGATCTCAGCTTTTTTGCTTCTTTTTTTTGTTTGAATTTTTATGTTAATTATGAGTTTTTGGATCTAAACAGAGAAAATGGCCCGCAAGAAGATCAGAGAATATGATTCGAAAAGATTGTTGAAAGAACACTTTAAGAGGCTTGCTGGTTATGATTTGGCCATCAAATCTGCCCAGGTAACTCAAATCAATGAATGACCTTGTGATTCAATCAACATTACCCCTCACCTAAAACCCTCTTTTCTTTTTTGTTCTGGTAGCTGAATGCTGGGCAGTTTTAGGTTGCTTTTATTAAAATTAGGCCAACTGTATTCGATGAAATGTAGGATGGAAAATTGAAATTATTCGAGTTGTTGTAAGTCTGGAGCATTCATCATATATTGCTCATTCTAGTAAAACAGATCTGGTTGATTGTTGATTGATTACCTACTAAACTCAAGAATAGTAGGTAATGGGTCTTGCTTAATCACTGCATATGAATCAGTAAGTACAGTGGCGGGAGCCACATGTTTTTGAGAGGATTTCATCGGAAAAATTGATATAAGTATTTTTTTAGGTGTGTTTGGTATGGAGGAAAATGTTTTCCATAGAAAATGTTTTCCTGGAAAACAAGTAGATTTTGGACTTATTTTCTCATCTTTGGTTGGTGAGTAGAAAATATTTTCTAGAAATTATTTTTAGTGTTTGATTTATGAATGAAAAATGTTTTTGAGAGACATCTTTTATTTTTACTAGAGTAAAAAAATAATTTATGACATTGAAAATATTTTTCAAAATTATTATGTTTTTGGGTGGTGATGGGGGTGGGGGCGGGGAGGGGAGGGGAGGGGAGGGGAGGGGAAGGGATAGGAGTGAAAAAATAAAAATTTGAAGTTGATAGTATTTTGAAAAAAGAAAATTAATTTTTTTGGGAATTGGGATGGGTAGGGGCTGGTAGGGGGGCTGGCCGGGAGGGGGGGAGGGGTAGGAATTTAAAAATAAAAATTTGAAGTTAAAAATATTATTAAAAAGCAAAATTAATTTTTTGGGGAGGGGTTGGGGTTGGGGTGGGCTGGCTGGTGGGGGCAGGGTCAAGGGTCAGTTGAAAAAATAAAATTTTGAAATTGAAAATATTTATTTAAATTGATGTTTTTCCCAAAAAATAAAAGTAATTTGAAATTGGAGGAGAGTTATGGAAAATGTTTTCCTTAATTTGTGAAGGGAAGTCATTTTCCTTAATTTTGAGGAAAATGAGTTGATTTGGAAAACATTTTCCGAAATTTTTGTCCCAACCAAACGTGGAAAAATTGGAAAACATTTTCCAGAAAATGTTTTCCTTCCTACCAAACACACTCTTTATGTATATTTATTATACGTATTGACATCCCAAGGCTTGTTCATGAATTTTAGAATCCTTAATAAAAGTTCTACCTCCTTTATTGAATTCAAGTGTGTATCTTCTTGAAGTCTTTCATTTTTTCTAGTATTAAGGGCTTCAAAAAGGCGAGCTAAATGAGTTTATTCTGTGGTCCAGACGCCAGGCTTAGATTCATTTGGAGGTTGAAGGACTAGAGAAAACAATCTCTCATGTTACTTGTGACAATTATAGATTGCATTAGATGATTTATTTGAAAGAATGCGGAAACTTATTCCTATGTGCAATATGATGATGGTATTTTTCCTTTTGATGTCTTAGATTACAGAGTCAACTGATTTGAATGAGCTTGTAGAGAAAGAGCCATGGGTTTCTTCAAAAAAATTGGCGGTAAAGCCTGATATGTTATTTGGGAAGCGTGGAAAAAGCGGGCTAGTTGCCTTGAATCCTGATCTGGCTCAAGTTGCTCTTTTGTTGAAGGAACGGTTAGGCAAAGAGGTCATTGAAAATATTATTTTTGTTATAAAGAGAACACAATAAGTACTTAATCCTGAAACACAGAATTTATATCATTAGAATGTATTTTCACATTAACAGGTTGACATGAGTGGATGCAAAGGGCCCATCACAACCTTTATTGTTGAGCCATTTGTACCTCACAATGAGGAGTTTTACCTAAATATTGTTTCAGACAGACTTGGTTGTAGTGTTAGCTTTTCTGAATGTGGAGGAATAGATATTGAAGAGAACTGGGACAAGGTGCTTGAAATGTGCCTATATTTTGTTACAAGTCAACAGAAAAATGTTATTTTTTGATATGTTCAGTATTTTATGCATGTCTATTGATTCGACATGAGATCGTGTAAAATCCAGGTTAAGACAATCTTTGTGCCAACAGGGACATCTTTTACATCAGAGATTTGTGCACCACTTGCTGCTACTCTACCACTAGAGGTAAATGTTTGAGAAAGCCACAAATTATGAAAATTTTATCCTTGCAACCCATATTTTAAAATTCATTGTCAAAATGGAGCATTGAGTAATGATTTTCTTCTTCAAAAAGAAAAAAAGGCAAAAGGGAAAATAAGAAAAGGTTGTACATACTAAGTTTATATATCATATTAGTTTCTGCAATGTAATCTGAAACCACTGATATTGATGTGAAATTCACTTGTGTTGTACAGATTAAAGGTGTAATTGAGGAGTTCCTCAAAGATGTCTATACTTTGTTTCAAGGTATGTTGTATACCCAAGTTTCATTATCACATCATTAATAGCCATGGATTTGCCTGAGCCTTTGAATATTCTTTCTATCAGATCTGGACTTTACATTCCTGGAGATGAATCCTTTCACATTGGTCGAAGGAAAGCCTTATCCACTGGATATGAGGGGAGAGCTTGATGACACTGCTACTTTTAAGAACTTCAAAAAGTAATCTCTTGGAACACTGGCATTTAGCCGTCTACTGCTTTCCAGATATATTTGAGTATTGTATGCATGCATCATCATTATAACAATATATCTTTTGATCTGCAGGTGGGGAAATGTTGAATTTCCATTGCCATTTGGAAGAGTGATGAGTGCTACGGAGAGCTTTATTCATGGGCTGGATGAAAAGGTATTTCTTGACACTTTGGCATTTAATTAAGAAAAGCATAAAGGACGAAAGACTTGGAATTGCCAATCCTCTCCCACTCCCCGGAAGTAGAAAAAAATTTATCTACCCGGTCTTAATAGTCCCTCTTTTGGGAATTGTAAGAGATGAACAACGAAACAAACAGCTGTTGTTGAATCTTCAATCAAAACGTTTAGAAAACCTTTTCAAGTAATACAAATTCAAGAAGAGGAGAAAGGTGATTCTTTTATTGTAGATGTGTACTGCATGTTTCTTGGGCATGAAATATTGAGCATTACTGTGCGCTACAAAGTGTTCCTCATCTAAACTGAGTCAGTTGAGGTAGCAGATGGTTCTATGAACAATTGTCAACATGTTTAAAGTGTTCAATTCATTGTTCTATTTCAGACAAGTGTATCTTTGAAGTTCACAGTCTTGAACCCCAAGGGGCGAATTTGGACAATGGTTGGTGGTGGAGGTGCCAGTGTCATCTATGCAGATAATGTATGTTTCTTTCCTTTGCAAAACTTATGCCCAATGTAGATGGTTACTTTGACTATCCTTCTGTTGCTGCATTCTTTTATTGCCATGTTGGGTTACCTTCAGGTCGGTGATCTTGGATATGCTTCTGAGCTCGGTAATTATACCGAATATAGCGGTGCTCCAAATGAAGAAGAGGTCTTGCAGTACGCGAGAGTTGTAATTGATGTAAGAATAAAGTATTTGGTTAACGTAATAGGATATACCATCATAGTGAACCTGTTATGGCATTTTCTTGGTATATTTGTCTAGAGAATGAAAAGAATTTTTTTATTAGGAGAAAGATACTCATTTCATTGCCAATTATGTAGTGTGCAACCGCAGATCCTTATGGCCGTAAGAGAGCCCTTGTGATAGGTTGGGGAATAGCCAACTTTACTGATGTTGCTGCTACATTTAGTGGTATAATTCGAGCTCTGAAGGAGAAGGTACGAAACCATCACAAATCATAGCCATCTTCAATATGTCTTGTAGTAACTTGGGTACTTCTAACTCGGCGTTGTTGTAACAGGAATTTAAACTTAAAGCTGCAAGAATGCACATATATGTTAGAAGAGGTGGTCCAAACTACCAAAAGGGTCTTGCAAAAATATGGTCTCTTGGGGAGGAAATTGGCATCCCAATTGAGGTATGAATCGGTATCCAATTATAACTAGTCTAAAACCATATATTCTTTTTCAATAGCATCAAGCAATTTCGAAATCACAACTTAAGCATCATTTTAATCTATTTCCTGTCTGTTAATTTGTTGTTGTAGGTATATGGACCTGAGGAAACCAGGACTGGTATCTGCAAACAGGCTATTGAGTGCATCACTGCATAAAGCAACCAACTCTGCTAAATTGTTTTGGTTTTTTTAGCTTTGTGTTATCATAATGATGTTGTTTGTGTCTGATATAAAAAAGAGTGCTTTGTAATTTAGCCATATTACATTCGCAAATGGGCTCTAATAATAATATCTACATATTCATCTTCTGAAAGTATTTTGTGGCATATTACATTATATTATATCTATCTACATCCCACCATCCATAATTACGTTAGCGCTCAAGGAAATTTATAAATTTTTTTTATCGGTTTTACTAGGTTCTGTACACATGCGTTGCATATGTGTCCCATAAAAATGTTTATTCGATTAATATATTTTCAACTAAAACATGTATGTAATACTAATAATAATAAAATGTCATCCTAATAATAAATCGTTGTAAATGTCAAATGGGGGATGCATTTTAATGTTAGAAAAAATACAATAATCACATCATTCTTAAGGCTTTAATCATAACAATATAGTTAAAAAAGAAATAAGTTTGAACGTGGAAGCGGAATTAAGAAGAAGAGAGAGTTGCTTGGAAGGACTTGTTTTATTATGAGGGAAAACTCTCAATTTATACAAGAAAAAACTTACTATTTTGGCCAAGTGGCCGACACTACTTTACACATGACCTTTTTTATTTCGGCCGACACAAGAAAACAAAAAACTTTTTACATATGGCCGACATACTACTATTCATAACTTTATATTCATGAGTAGCTAAATTGTTTTATTCCTAATAAACTCTTGTTTGATTAAAATTTTTATCATGTTTTAATAATGATTTAATAATCATCTCGTCTGGTCACTACTATGGTTTTCTTCTTTGATCAGTTACCCTAACAGTGCCTCAACTCTGTTTACTCCCCTAATCGGCCTTCTTGCCTAACAGTTTCAACTTTAGGATGACATAGTCTGGGCATACTTCGTCTACTGCAAATTCTTCTTTATTCATTATGATTTATGTTGTAACTTATATCATGTTGTAATTTATATTCTAGGCAATTTATTTGAATTTCTAGAATAAATGTAACTTTTCTTTGTGCTAATATTGATTTATTACATACTCCTGCTAACATATTTTCTTCTAGTCTTTCTTTTCTGTATTTTAACTCTCGACACCGTCTCTCCAACAAATCAAAATTCAAAAATCTTTTCCACAGACTTAAACTATATATGTAAGTGTTTCACTATTTTAACTCTTAACTATAGATGAAAATGATAATATTGGAAAGGATATTTTAAAGTTCTCAATTTATTTTATGGAGGTTATGAATATAAAAGCATGAGGATTATGAAAATTAAGAGTAACAATTGAATATGTAAATAGATACTCCCTTTTGTCCCTAATTACTTGTCAATTTTTGAATTGACACACCTATTAAGAAATAATATTGACATAGTAAAATTATCATTTTACCCCTATTAATTATGAAGTGGATGAATTTAAAACTGTTTTTGTTTTTTGGTAATTCTAGTCATATTACAAGATTTTTAATATGTACTGGTTTGAAGCTTAGGACATGGACATAATCCTATGTCTCAAAGCTCATCACCCTTTGCCATGTCCAGGCAGGGGCGGTGCTCGAATACCCATTAATTTTTGTTGACCTATATATACTTATATAAAAGTTTGAAATAATATATACAATTTAATTATGAGCACCCAGTACACTAGTAGTTGTATGGTTCAGTGGTCATTTGAGGGAGCTAAGGTTGATTATTGCATCTATCTCTTGTGTTTTTGATTTCCACTCTAAGCATTTCTTTAAAAATGTTTTGAAGACTAACTCTTCTATAGACCTTTTACTTTTCACTCCTTATGTTAATTGTTCTTTTCATATTTCTTTTGTTTCCTTTTGTTATTCAAAATAATATTTATTATAGTGCTATTAATATTTTTTGCTATAGTGTTTTAAGTTAATTGTTAGATAATCCATAAATTTGTTTATTTGCATTTTGTGACGGTAGTCAAGGGAGCACCCACTATCTTAAACTCCTGTATCCACTACTGGCCTTGTGCAGGCTCAATGCAAGAAGTTCTAATAAGGATAAAAATTTAGTTTATGCATAGCATTAACAAGTTTAGAAGCCATGCTACTTCTATAATGAACTTTATGAATAATTTGTTTTATAATCTCCTCTATGTTTCTGTCCTTTTGCTGAAAATTTTGTCTAATTCTTTTTCCATATGTAGTAAATAGTTGCAACTCAATGTCATTCTATATACTTCATATTGTTTTCCTTGTAGCATGCATTGTAGCCTATTCAATCTCTTCATTCCACCCTGGTGATTGATAACCATTGACGTAATTTTTGCAATATAACATTTGCCACACTGCATGTGAATATTAAGTGTTGGTGTTTTTCATGATCTGCTTTGCAAATGAGCAAACTGTATTTATCCCTCATTTGTCTAGCCTATCTTTTGTATACAGTCTCCTTTGTATATGCAAGTATAGGATGAATGTCCATTTAGGGCTGCCTTGGTTATTGCATATCATTCTTCTCCATGACACCTTGTTGAGTTCACCTCTAAACTTATTGTACATATCCTTACATGTAAATATTTCTGCCTCTGTAACCTATGTCGTTTATAATCTAGCTTCTGATATCCAGTGCCTGCTTGTAGAATTTTTTTCACAATCTAAGAAACTTGTTTATCTTGTAATTCTCATGGTCTCCTATCTTAGAGGTAGTAGTATGGACTCATACAATCCACAACTTATTCTTTTTTCTTAGATAAGTCCCCAAAATGTTTGAGTATTGTTGCTTTTTCCACGCTTGTGTATCTGTAATATTCAGTCCACCAACAACCTTTAAGCACATATTTTATCCCATGCTACATGAGCTTTCGCTTTATCCTGTGTATCACTATTCCAAATATCTTGCATATAGTTTCTACATGTTGCAACACTATCTTTGGAAGGAAAAATATTTGTGCCCAGAATGCTTGAATAAAAGTTAGTACACTTTGTACCAATTGGAGTCTCCCTGCATAAAATAGAAATTTCATTGCCCAAGTGTTGATCCTCCCTAGCATCCCGTCTAATAGTGGTTGACATTTACTTATTGACAAATTGTTGGAGCTTAAAGGGACTTCAAGATACCTAAAAGATAATTTGCCTTTTGTGAATCATATATTTTGTATAATCAGTTGTTGGTCTTGCCACTGGCGGAGCCGGGATTTTCGCCAAGGGTGTTCATACTTTAGGACAAGTAAAAGAAATTAAATAAGTCTTTCCAGTCAATTTATAATGATTGGCTTCAAAATAGTCATACCTCAATTATTGATTTCTACATAGTGCTCCAAGTTGTTCATACTCTTTACATTTTCAACATCAAATTAACCAACTATCCAAAATTAGAATTCTTAAAATCGAAACTTACAAATGCATAAACTAAGGAAGATGAAGTAGGAAAAACATATTGACGGATAGTTTCATACGCACCAAAAAATGTAAAGTGGTAACTACAATTGCACCCGACGACACTTCACCTCTTGAAATATTTTCATAATACACTCATTAGAAACATCATTAAATACTTTTTTCTCTACATAAGTAACTATGAAACCATCTACTAATTATTCATATATTAATTCGATTTCACATGTCATTCTTGATAATCTTCATTGCTGAAAAAGCTCTTTCAACTGTAGCAGTGGCAACAAGTAGAAGCAAGACAAACTTCACCAAAATAAATATGAGAGAAAAGCTTAAATGCTTCTTTGTCTCAACCAACTTTCTTGAAAGTTCTCCAAGTCAACCCGAATTGGAGAACCTATCATCAATAACATGAACATAAATAATGTAATTAACAATTTGATACTCAAGAGCTATCATGTTGGACCCATTAAAATCATCACGATATAATTTAGTCATTCTCATTATCTTATTTATGTCAAAACTAGAAAATGAATCAATTGGAATTTACATGACATTTAATTACCTAATTTTGATGATCCATATGCTAATTATGGGATATCACGACGTAAAGTAGTCATGTGTACTACTTTGCATCATTATCGTGTGGATGTATTTATAAAATCATTGATTGACAACTACAAGAACTTAATGGTGTTTTTAATTAGGTGACAAGTGATTTGCTTTTCTACCTTTTGTTTAAGTGAGATCACTAACGAGTATCACCGGCTTTAACAAGACCAAGTTCTTAATTCAGCCCTCTTCATGTTTCTAGTTCACCCATATCCAATGCCATTTGGAGTTTTTTAGATTCTCTAAAAGTATCCGGACATTTAAAAACAAGCTCCCAACACATTCAAAATATTTGAAATTGATAATACAAGTTCACCAACTTGAACATACTTTTTAGAAACCGCACAAGAGTTAATTGATGTTGATGAGTGAAAGAATGAACATAATGAACCAATCTATTTTCTTGTCTAATCAATGTTTTACTACCACCTAACTCACCTTGCATATTGCTTGCTCTATCATATCATTTCCAATGTACTTTAGACAAAGCCAAAAAATGGTGAGCAAGTACATCTACAATTGCTTCTTTCAAAGATAAAACACTAGTATCTTTAATATGAACAAGTCCAATAAATGCCTCCATCATAAACCCCAATTTGTCAATATATCTTAGACAAATAGTCATTTGTTCTTTATATGACACGTCTCTAGATTCATCAACGAATAAAGCAAAGTATTCACTATTTATATCCTCTATTATAGCTTTAACTATTTCAATCTTACATGCAGTCACAATATCTTTTTGGATGTAATGAGAAGTCATTTTATTTATTTTTGGAGCTTTTTCTAACACAAAATGTTTAATTGCATCATATCTAGAAGTTAACAAAGAAAGAATTTCAAGAATTGTTCAATGACGATTCACTCTCGTCATGTCATGACCATGAAATTCAAAATCTTGATTTGAGAGAAGTCTTACTATATCGATTGAAGTATTTAACCAAACCTGATTTTCATGCTTACTTTTATCATCCGAAAGCGGCTTGAAAGGATTGTTATTCTCGCATGAGATCTTCAGACTTTCTAATGGATTGGTTATGAACGCTATCCAATGGACCAATATGTGTAGCATTGCTATCCTTTCTATGCCAATTCGTAAATCCATTAGTCGAAATTGCATTACCACCACCTTGATTAATGTTTTATCCTTAAAACAAGTAATAAGGTA